ATGTACTTGTTTTAAAATCCATTTTTATGTAAGCGGTAAGCCGCTCAGAATGGCGTTCAAGTTTATTATTTTTCAATCTACAAAAGAATATTTTATCGATCAATTATTTTAATTGGAACATCCAATTTGAAACACGGTTCCTACATATTTCTATTTGATTGGCAATGAGATTCAGTTAAATTTCCTCTATGGGCAATTGGATTAGCATCAACGACCACTTACATGAGGATTTAAATGCCCTACGATAAAATACGTTCAAGTTCTGGGCAGAGATTAAAAAATGTTTTTTACATTCTTATCTCATTTATTTCTTTGTTTTGCATGGTTCGTTTTAAACTGTGCTCGAGGCTTTTTGTATCATTGAAGCAAGATGTATTTTAATAATGATAAGTTTAATAGTTTGCGAGATTTGTTTTAATTAAAATACTTTTTAATTAATACATAATACAGACATCAGCCTATAAGTTCCCACTGCTGAGCAAAAGCCTCTTTTAAGAATAAGGTTTGAGAATTAACAACAACGCTTGAAAAGGCGGATTGCCGATTTTTTAAGTATTCGATACTTGAAATTATGTATACGTACATATGTAAAATCCGTAATTTAAAGTGCAGATTTCTTCATGATATTTTCTTTATTATATTGCCTGTCTGTCTACTGGCTGGTGTTTAAATTAACTTAAAATGTACATATAATGTCAGGTTTCGACCGAGTCCTGAGGCATTAGAAAAGGGCGCACCTTAACGTCCGGATATGAGCTGAAGTACCTACTACACTTCAGATATTTTATAAAAAATAACGTTAACACCTGAACATCGTTTTTTAAGACCTATCCATAAATAACTTACACACACGAAAAAATATAGAGTTTTAGTTCGAGAAAAGTGTCGAATCTATAAGGAGAATTTGGCTAAAAACCCGAAACACAAGTTCATAGACAAGCCGTGGGCTACTCCAGCTGATCATGATGATAATAACGACGAGTCTGTTTGCTAGCGATATCGAGTGCGGATAAAAGGATTATATACTGTTTTGGTAAACTGTTTAGTTGACTTAATGTCATCATCAGCCTATAAGAGCACTGCTGAGCAAAAGCCTTTTCTCACACGGAGAAGGATTTGAGCATATTAATTACCACGCTTGCTCAATGCGGGTTGACGATTTGAAACTTGTAAATAGAAATTATAAGTCCAGGTTTTCTTACGATGTTTACCTTCACCGTATGTCAGCGGTGTCTAAATACCCATAGAAAGTACATATAACTTGGAAAAAGTCACTTTGCTACTTGCCAGGTTTCGAACTCACGGGGCCACCACGACTTTTTTATGACGCCGAGTTGACGCAATGTAAACAAGCCAAAAATATTTCCATGGACGACTTCGTACATAAATCGTTATAATACAAAATTCTATACATACACTGAATTCCATCTAAATCGAATGGTTTACATGATTATTAATTTCACATTTCCACCGTATTGTCCATAAATTAAAGCCGAAATTTCATTGTAAATTAGAAAATAATTAGTAACGATTCCATAAATATGACATCCCCATTGTTCTGTTTGATGTATTGTTTTTCAAATAGAATGTATAAAGCCGATATACTGAAATACTAGGACAGTATATTTTAATACTATGTATGTATTTTTATTAATGGCACACCGCTGCATCCTTGCATAACCGCTATAATATTTGAGTGAAAGAAAATAGGTGATTATCTAAGATAATATGCCAGTTCTGTCAATAAAAGACAACAATCACAATATTAATCTTGGAAGATATTTAAAAAATAATATTTTTACCTACTTAACCAATATTACCAAAATTCACAAATCAGTGTATGTACTTAAGAATACCGCAATGACATTTCTCGATGCAGAAATTAATAGATGAACGTAGTGAACTATAAAACGCGATAAACGGAATGAGTTAAACCCTTTGGGAGTGCCACAGTCCTAGGGAATACATTTAATTTAGTACGTCAGTGAATTGTTGCGAGTTGTATAAAAGGTAACATCTAGAGTAGTTTTCTTAGCACTTTTATTAATATATTTTTGCTGCAAGGTTAGTAAAATAGTAGTAAATGTGAATGAAGGTTATTACTGAGTCACATCCAATGATACAAAATATGGAAAAAGAATGTCCAGGAACGTCCAGAAAGGTCCACTTATTTTCGTCTCTTTCTCTATCCTTCCTAATACTAAAATCTTTAACAAGCTTCATGGCGAGAACGCAATGGTACTCCTTCGGTGTTGCGGGTTTCCACGGGTGGGGGCGATTGCTTTCCATCAGGTTATCCGTCTGTTAGTTTGCCGCCTTATGCCATACCTGCATACAACACAGCAAGATCTTGACAAAAGATAGCTGTAACACAAAAAGTTGATCGATTGGAGATATATTAGAAAAAGAGGTTTTAATTACCAGATTCCAAGATAAAAGCGATTAATTAGGTTAAATTAAAGAGGAATGTTAGCACGACAACAGTCATAATATAACCCTAAAAAGTCCGTACATAGTCAAAGCCCTGCTCTCAAATAACAGTTCTATTTTTAAAAAGTCGTTCAAACATGATCCCAAAAAACAATGTAAACAGTATTGAAGAAAAAAAACAGCAATTTATTTGAGTTATATAAATATTAGATTTTCTTGTTAAAACATGATATTAAGCGGCTTATAAATCTTAATATGAAAAATGGTTCAAAGTGAAACGATATCAAATAAAACGGCTGTTTAAACATTTATATGTTTTTTGTATTTGCAAGATGGCCACTAGAGGATTCGTTACAGAAAGATCAATGACTAAGAATCACGTGATAAGTTAATTACAAATTACTTTTGGATGATTACTTATGAGCACTATTTTGTAATTAAGTAAATTGAAAAAAATATAGTTTAATGTATCGACGTTTGTCAAACTCAATTATTTCATGATTATGGGTCCTCAGCGTGATTTGAAACTAGACGAGTATCAGTAGTTTGAAATATATGTGTAAAAAAGTAAAATGATTACAGATAAAAATGATTAGTAATTTAGATATACTAAAATATAGCATATGATTAAATTAAAATGCGTGATTGGTGCAGTGACAGGGCAACTGGCTAGTGAGCCAGTGTTTCCGTTTGATTTTCTATGTGATCGATAAATTGTTGTTCTGGGTCTAGGTGTGATGTGTATGTGGAATTGTAATATGTATATTCACACACAACATAGGAGAAAATACTTGGATGAGGTCATAATTTTTAAATGATTATTCTTAAGAATTGTAGAAACAATTAATAGATTGAAAGGCATGATGTAGTATAAAACAGAACTCCTAATGTAGAACAATAGATCAGCAATCACAGTTTATGGTAACCTCCATTATTCTTGAACACTCAAGGAGTCTCTTCGAAACAATTGGGCCCACCTGTTTACGATCACGTAAACCCTCGATGCCGAAATAACATAAACAAATCGCGCGATAGAAATCTGTGTCATAAAAAGCCTTATCTTAACATTTGCACGGAACATAGGAACAAATCTGGTATATTTGTAGCATACAAATAACCTAAAAGTCCGTTTGCGTCATAAAAGTCACATCTTTGTGAATAACGAGATAAGTTACAAAAAAGTTGTTTGCCCCCGGTTTTATGCTCGGCTACACTTTACCATAATATTTTATGGTAATTTTATTTGAACCAAACTGAACATGAACGCTTGGCGTAAACGTTACGAAATGTTTTGCGCTCGATATTTTTTGCGTTAAGTTTTTGCTAATTGTAACACAATGTTAAGATCAAAAATATTGCAATTGAAAATGATATCGCAAACTAAACTCTTTTTTAAAGTTTTTATTGTTTTGTTTTGCATTTGCACAGCCAAAAGTAAATCAATACATAAAATTAACGAAACTGAACGCGGAATTAATATAATACTAAAATGTAGATCAATCAGAACCAAGGGAAAAAGCAGTCAATGTGTTAATTCATACTATACATAAATAAACAACTACTACTATATTACATTTCAGGTCACATTCCACACAGATAGATCGATCTATCATCCTTACGTACAAACTTTCGCGTTGACAATATTAGTAGGATTATTATAAGTTTATAAGGAAAAAACAAGACAGTTTAAAACTGTAAATATTTAGATGGAAAGAAAAAATGCATACATTACACACTTTTGATATAACCCAGAGAAGGTCGTCATCTCGCAGTACTCGCGTTGAATAGTCAGCAAGACTAACTCGCACCGTATATCGTGCGAAAATTATATATCCAATGCTCGCACTTGAAAAACAAAAAAATATTATTGTAATTGTTATCAAACATTTTCCAATTAATGAAAATAATCCGAACAAATTGCATAGAACATCCACAAAGGCTCATGTGAAGTCAGGATTGAATGTAATCACCCACACGGATGCGACTATCCGGTTATTGAAGGAACATAAACATATCGACGTGATCACAATGGCTTAGAATTCAGGCTACAGAGCAAACATTCAATTGTCGAATGTCGCCAGTTGTGCCCTGTGTAAACAGGGAGTAAACAATGGATAACGTAATGCATCAGTACACTCGTGTCACTCGCCCAGATGGATATAAGAAAGAGGTCTCATTTTACAAACGCATTGTTATAGACGATTACCGGAATCGGTCACATGTTTCAGTGAAAATCTTTCTAATTTCGGGGAAAAAAATCGAAGGTTTTTTTTCAACTGTCAATTTACGGTGTCAGGAATTTTGGTGAAAGTGAAAACGTGATTTTTGTGAAAAACATTGGTAGATTTTTTATAAGGTGTTTGTACCTGTATATTATAAAATAATATTTAAGAAAATTTAATTATAGCAAACCATGTACACTTGAAAACATTTTAGCAGGAACGTCGAGCCAGCGACTGTGAACAACACTGCGCGTTTTGTAAAACTCCGCGCTGTAACGAAGCTTGTTAGCGTACTTTAGTAAGAAGATTGTCTGCAGGAGCGAAGACACCTTCAGAACGAGAGAACAAATGGAACTAATGAGTTCCTTGTTGTTCTGCGCGCTAGTCGTATATTTGCCGCAAGCGTTAGGTGAGTTGTCACATTATGATTAAGAAATAATCTTAAAACTTAATAGTTTGAATAAGTCGATAGAACGTTTCATCAAGTTAAAAAATAAAACAATCTACTAAGCAATTTTAAGATGGGATTTAACTTACCTATGAATTGTATTTTTTCGTATTTAGAAATAACTGAATACTTATATTTACAGGTGAAAATCGACATACAAGACGACTTAAGCTAGCCAATGATGTCGATATAAAATTTAACAACTCGATGATTATAAATCAAATGCCGATGCCAAAGAGAATTTTACTAAACATCAACGGACCACCGCTAGTGAATATGCTCAGTGACCTACAAATGGTTTTTATGGATGTAAAATGCAAAAAATGTATCGATTGCATGGAACGAGCAATCAAAGCCTTTAAGGCACATTATCATGTTGTGGAAGCTCGACCAAGAGCGGATGAACTATACGAAGAAGTGTTAAAAAATCGTTACATATTTAGTAATCGTAATAAAAGAGAGACTCCGAAAATAGTAGAAACGCCACAAACAACAACTACTTCTAAACCTAAAAGGTCAAAGACAAAGAAAAGAGCAACTAAATCGGTAACCGTAACAAAATACGTTGACGGAGACGTTTACGCGCTAAAAGTTAAGGAAACGAATACGCAAGTCAGTGTAGACCAAAATAACGTGACTCATACTACAAGTTGTCAAATTTTCAGCGTTAAGAAATCATATCCGTGTGACAGTCCCGACTCTGTCGCATTTTTGACCACGGCTAGGAGGAAACTGAATAAGAGAATGAAGAAAGAAAAGGAGGCAAATAGAATTGATCCATTAACTACAACGACTACTACAGACAAACCTCATTTTTTAGCCCCAGCTTTTAGAAAACGTCATGTAGACAACTCGCAGGTTCCAGAAAATGTTATGCCTTCAATAGAGGAATTGTATTAATGTTACTGTTGCGTAGTTAATCGTTAGTACGTATAAATTTATTTTTGTTGATATTTTTGTAAGTCACTGAATGTTTTTCTCGCTAATTACACATTTTCTATTCCTATACAGAAAAATCTAGTCAAAAACGTTTTTCTGTTTCGTTGTCTGTTTTAAAATAACATTATAGTTGCGTTATACGCACATTTAAGTTGCGTTTTGAATTGTGCATAGTTACAATAGATGTAGGATACTACATTTCATATAATCAGTTTAATGATTGATCTGTCTATTGAAAAATAAAAAGTGTGTAGTTAGTTAAACAACCACGTGTTTAGTTATAGTGTTCTACTAAGTAAATTGTACCTAAAGATCAAGTTCCCAAGGTATATTTTTTAGCGTTAAGCAGTGTTTACTGAATAAAATTGTTGCCATCCAAATATCATATTTCATTATATTCAGGATTGGAGAATCCTATGTATATTTGTGAACCAGAAATCTATTTTTTATTTGTTTTATTGAGAAAAGATGGCCCAAACTATTATGTTATATGTTTTTTGTTTGAACAATTTTTTTTAATGCTTATTCTGTTTTATTTGGAAATAAATAAAACGTATAATGAGAAAAAATATAATACTGTCATATTAATGCGATTATTTTATTATCATAGCAAAACGTTTTTATTTATGAAATGATAATTGTGATTGGAGATTTAGAGGGTTGTGACTGAAAAAGTATTTTTCCTTCAACTTGAAGAAAGCCATGGGCTCCAACTATTATAACACAATTGATATACTATATTGGATATTAGTGGTAGTATTCAAGTAACAATATTGGATCAAATTAGTCACAATACGTTGGAAGCCTTGGCAAAAGGCAATTACTATTAATTTGGCAAATTGATGGAGCGCACTGTAGGATTCACTCTGCCTTTCAATGCATAAATATAGCGAATTGTACGGTAATTGAAACTGTTATAGATGTAGGGAGAAATCTATTATTGATGGTTTAGTTTATTAATTGTAATAGTACTCTTCTAAGAACATTTTATCCGTTTTCCCAAACCTATTCTCAATTCAGATATATTTTTTTTTGTTTATTTGTAAAACTTCGTAAGTACAAGTTCAGTCAATACCCTGAAAAACCTGACTACGTTAGAATCACGCAAATTCTATCATAGAATTCTTGGCTGCACGGTTGGTGCGGTGACTGGGCAACTGGCTATTGTGCAACGTATCGAAAGTTCGATTCCCGCACGTAACAACTCTTTGTGTGATCCAGAAATTGTTGTTCCGGGTCTGGGTATCATGTGTATCCACCCACGACATAGGAGAAAATCAACGTGGGGCAACGTTTTTTGAAAAGCATTTAACAGCATAGAAATAAAATAATACTCGGCACGATGATAATCTATCTAACACAGAACACACACATGCAAAGTGCACATCTGTCATGATATGAAGCGGTTGTTATTAGTGTGACACCGCAGATACCGGCTGTTCTAGTCTGTGGTTAAATTAATTATTACTGCGTCTGGCAATCATCCCTGATATAACTAATGCCACCTGCATATCTGAGTTGCAACCGCAACCACTTGGTATGTGCACTTAGTATGTAAGTGTAGTTCACAAAATTTAAGATAGTATTATAAAAAATGTTAAGTAGTTATTATGTTAAGTAATTAGCACATCCAAAACTTGATCCATAGAAAAATATTCACAGCCAAGCGCTCTCGACTATTACATACCTGAAGAGAAGATAATGTGGCCTCTTTGGAATATTAAATATTTTTTCAGACTTTTGGATCAAGGGGAAAAACTGTTATTGCTGCATAAGATGTACGTAGATTGAGAACACGCAAATAGCAAATGTTCAAAGAAGAAATACATTTTTATCGACAAACAAACCCCACCAGTGTGCCAGCCGTTTTTCATAAACAAATAAACTCAAACAGAAAAACCTTAAACACGTTCATTTCCATATTTATATTACAAAGTAGGAAATATTAAAATTGCATTAAATATAAAACGATCGGGAGCAAACAACTAGCTGTGAAGTTGAACAAAAAACGTTGAAAAAAGGGCAAGAATATAACGAGACGCGTATTTATATTACGCTCCGCTTATACCCTCGGGCATTACGAGGTTACATCATGCAGATTAGATGTCATGAGATAACGGGTGCATACTTTTTATTACAACCATCCCGTACTTTTGCATTTTTAAAGACACGCCGTGAAAGTGGAAGTTAATTCCGTATATTTCAAAAGTGGACGGAAAAGTATTACGTATTTGAATTGCGTTAAAATACATTTTTATGTGTTCTCTGACGGTTATAATTAGCTTAGCTTTTTATGACCGGCCGGTTTTAGAAAAAAACCTTAATTGTACTACGTAAACATTAAGCTACATATGTAATTAAATTAAAGTTAATCTCAGACAAAATCCATAGTCAGTTACAGTTTACTTAAAACTGGTGTTAGTAAGTTCATAATAATATATTGAAAGAATTATAAATCTAAAATCATTACAGCTATACTTCAACGGGCACCGCATTCAAATCTCGCATCCAATCATCGGATAATTCCACCGATCTGTGAACACACTGAGAATAGTATATCAGTAATATATATGTATGAATGTGTATTGTGTTTAATGAAACACAAAGAAGTAGAAAATAATTACGCGTCCCCGATTAACTAAAGTAAAAACATTAGATACAGCAAACCCACATATTGCGTAAACGGCTAAACGCCTAAAAATATACGGGCGTACCCAAAACTAATCCAATTGGTGAGCATCAAAGTCATTAGGAACCGTTAATCTAACGCCTGTGGCATCAGAAAAGCCTTTGGATAAATAAACCTTCTAACTTAACACTAACATAGACCAAGTTCGAACTCGTTAGAGAGTCTTTATCGAAAATAAAGTTTTTGCCCAAAGAACAGAATGTGGGCAACCAAAGCGTTGATAACGCGAAACTTGTATGGAACGTGTATACGTGATCCTTTTGAAAAAACTTTCGTATTGTCGATGCGTGAAACGATTTCTATTAATTCTTTGAGACTGGACTTTTGTATGTGTTCGTGGTAGTCTGTTGGTCGAATGTTGGTGATAGTGTCCAAGAAAATGTCTGTCGAATAACGTACCATTCTGAAACCTATATAAAGAGGTATGCTTTATTTTGAGGTGGGAAATTTTCAATTGATTTCTACAGTATATGTACACTACAGTAAATGCTACATACCAAACAACAACAGTATTAGAAACATGTATTGATCGTACCTACTAATTATCATTGATTTACTTGGCACCTGGCACTTACTTGGCACCGACTTCAAGATTATAAATATAGTATATTTTGATAATATTATTTTCTATTATATTATAATATTATTTTCTATTTACCTAAAATAAATGAAAACATGTATTACTTTGTACAAAGAAAATTTATTTTTTGCTTTTTAGTTTACTTTTTGAAGTCGGTTATTTTGTAAAAAAATATTTTATTAACGTTATAACTTCAATGATTGCACAAAATGAGAACATGATAGCTCGGCGCCATATTGGTATGCGAAAGAATGGCGGTTGAAAAAGGGACGTGATTGGTCAATCCGTATCAATGGCTGCCATTACTTCTTTTAATTGGTTCTTTTGTTTTAAGAGTGCAAAATTTTGAGTTTTAAGTGTTGTTTTGAGTTTTGTATTTTTGATTTGGTCTGGTATAAATTTGAATGTAGATTTTAATGTTATTCGCATTTGGAACTAGTGGTCACTAATATTTGATTTAGAAGTAAACCAAAATGTTAATTGATTTGTTTAGTTTTTTTTGTAGTTATTTTAGATTACTCACTAAATTCACGATATTTAGATGTTTTGGAAAAATACAAATTGCTTTTGATTTAAAATAAATAATAAAAATATTAATAAGAAACTAACAACGATTTGAAGAATCTCTCCATTGTAAAAAAAACAATACTGATGATGAACTTAGACTCAACAACAACCAAAGATATTTTCAACATTCACCATTGAATTCGAATCTGATTACCTAATATTACGCGACTAAAACAAAATGTTCCCTTACATGAATTTTATCTAACCAATAACTTAGGACTATTAAGTCTGTCGACATTATTTTCGTTGAACGTAATTTATGGTGGAATTGAAATGCATTGGGAAGGTAAAATAAATTTTATTTCATGCTGAATGGGGCTATTTTGCTACTTACAATAAATATTTGAAATTCTTAGTAGAATCATTTCATGAGCGGACTACTAGTACATATTCTATAATACATTAAATTTATTTAAATCTCTATATTCTGTTTAAGGCGAACCCGCTTATGAAGATTAAAACGGTTCAGTCTAGCAGCGGACTATCATGGGATGCTGATAACATTTTTGTACTTTTAACAGTTATTTATTTTATTTTTTTTACGAGGCTGGCAAATGAGGTGGCGTATCGTCTAATGGTGTGGCCTATGGACAGTCGGGACATCGCTGAGTTATAAGGACGTGGCCAGCCTTTTGAGAGCTAGGTATTTGAGGATTTGGAGATTTGAGGAGGTCACTGGAGACCGAATCCTTGCCAGGGGAAAAGGATTGGGCCTCCAGTCCTCACTCACACAGCGAAACAAAATGTTTAAATGAGCTTTGTTTGACGTCGGTATCACGCCAACACTGTTTTTTTTTACTTTTCAACAAATACAATTCTACTGGATGACAGAAACAATCCTTTAATTCAAATTGTAACAACCCTTGAATGTATCACAACCAAAAACAAAGTTAACAACACTAAAACTTGAAACTAGGTAATTAAAACACTTTATAATTTGTTAGAGTACGCTCAAGGGTCGTCACACAGTTTGTGTGACTAGATGACGAAACTTGCTTAGAACATCAATTTGTTTGTACAACAATTAGTGGCGGTCATGTGGGAGCTCGCTAACACCTGCTACGTGTTATATGTTAAGATGACAGTAGTTCTACGAAATTAAATTAATGGTATATAGGTAATTTA